GTCTGGCATCGGGCGAGACGCCACGACTCTCTGTCGTCATCTGGCTTGACGACGCTTCCTCGAGCAAGTGCGCCAGGTCCTGCTCCTCGAAGCGCGCCCCAAAGTTCTCCTCGTCGATGTCCATGTCGAGGCCTTTGCGCAGCGCTCCTCGTTCGTACGCTTCGTCACGGCTGTGAGGGTTCGTTGGGAGGCAGTGGCAGGAGGGTCAGAGGACCGAAGGCGTGATCCCCAGCAGTCAAGACGAACCTCCATGAGCTCTGACACAAGCCTAGTCAGTGACCCTATCAGCGTGACGGTAACAAGAGTCGTGATCAAGGCAATGAGCCATCATGAGGCGCCTCTTTGCCCTCTTTGACATGGCCGCCAGATAGCACGCAGGTGACGCGCCCGCTATCGATAAGCTCGCCTACACCTTCCACTTTCACTCGCCCGACTGCACCTTCCACTCTCCTTCGCCCGGCTCGGAACCTCAACCTTTCGGTCCAGCCTCACCACCCTCGCGTTACCATGTCGGCGAGCTATTTCCAGGAGCGAGCAACGCCCGCCTCTCAGAACGGCTTCTCGCCAGCCTCTCCGTCAGTAGGGCCTGCGTCTCGGGGCGCTAATGCTCTCTCCAGTCGCATCACCAGCGTGCTCTCGGCTTCCTATGCAGACCTAGAGATCCGCGATGCCTTGGAGACACTTGATGCGCGTGGCATCCAGAACACGGCCGAGACCCGACGTCAGCTCCGGCTAGACGTACAGAAAGAGGTCATTCAATGCAATGGCGAAATTGTCAAAGACTTCGGCCAAGTCGCGGAGGTACGTTGGATATAGTACTTCCAAAGAACCCGTACTCAACTTTAGCAGCAACTGAAGCGTATTGGCACAGCTATCAGTAGCCTGAATAGCTACTGTGCTGACATGCGAAGTCACATTGCGGCTGCAAACCGTGAAACTGGCCCTGTCCTGGAAGAAGCCACAAGTCTCATAAGCCAGAGGAAGCAGGTCGAAGCGAAGCAGCACATCTTGCACGCCTTCAGCACCCATTTTTTAATATCCGAGGAAGAAGCCACTGTGCTGACATCCACTGCTGAGCCCGTCAATGAGGACTTTTTCCAGATTTTGACGCGGGTAAAGAAAATACACAACGACTGCGAGGTGCTACTCGGAACTGAAGACCAGCGGTTAGGTTTAGAGGTCTTAGAACAAAGCTCTAAGCAACTCAACTCTGCTTTTCAGAAGCTCTACAGATGGATCCAGCGCGAGTTCAAAACGTTGGATTTGGAAAATCCCCAAATCAGCGCATCCGTACGACGCTCTCTGCGCGTGTTGGCTGAAAGACCAACTCTGTTCCAAAGCTGCCTTGACTCGTTTGCCGAAGCGCGCGAGTCTATCCTGTCCGACTCATTCCACGCTGCACTGACAGGCTCGACGTCCGAAGAGCACATAGCCACCAAGCCCATCGAGTTTCATGCTCACGATCCGCTACGTTACATAGGAGATATGCTGGCCTGGGCTCATTCAACGACAGTATCTGAACGAGAAGCACTTGAGAATCTCTTCATTTCGGATGGCAACGAGATCAAGCGTTCCATCCAAGCAGGCCTTGAGAGCGAGCCGTGGCTGAGAGGTGAGGAGGATGCAGAAGTCTTCGACGGAAGGAAAGCATTAAACCAACTCGTCAGTCGGGACCTTACGGGTGTGACACGCCTGTTGCGACAGCGGACCGAACAGGTCGTTCAAAGCCATGACGATGCAACCCTTTCCTACAAGATCGCCAATCTAATTGGCTTTTACAAAGGAACATTTTCTAAGCTGCTTGGAGCGGATTCGGACGTGTTGGATATATTCGAGACACTGGAGGCTTCCGCCATGCGCCAGTTCCGCGCCAATATGAGAGACTATGTTGCCAACGTGCAAAGCGATCTGGCTGTTGCACCCGTCGACCTATCGCCTCCCGAGTTCCTCGAAGAAGCGCTACAGATGCTCCGAGTACTTGCGAAAAGCTACGATACATCGGTTGCCGCAACAGACGACGATGGGCAAGGCTTCCTGGCAGTACTTGCTGAGGCGTTGGATCCCTTCTTAAGTGGGTGCGAGAACCTACAGAAAGACATGAAGCTGCCCGACAGCGCTATATTTGCCATCAACTGCCTCTTTGCGGCCAAAGAAGCACTTTCTCGGTATACCTTCGCCGATGAGCGAATTAGCGAGATAGATGATACGATCGATGAGAATGTAGCTAAATTGACCGAATACCAACACCAATACCTTATCCACGAATCCGGGCTCATCAATCTTCTCGATGCTCTTTCAGAAATCGAAGATTCTGGGGAAAGTCTCAAAACGATCCCCAAACTGGAAGCATTCAAGCCCGACGCACTCGTAGCAGCCAGCCAGCAACTCGATGAGTTCCTACCGTCTGCTCTCATCGATGCATCGGAAAATATTAAGAAGCTGCGCAACAGGAACATGATACAGAACATCACAGAAGAAGCTGCCGGCAAGTTCTGTGAGGACTTTGAGTTCGTGGAGGGCAAGATGATGGCTGCTGACGACCTGACATATGATGAGGAAAAGGACGATGAAGAGCAGGAGCCCGGTTTGCGGGAAATGTTTCCTCGTACTAGTGGAGAGATACGAGTGCTGCTCAGCTAGGTAGCCGGATAAGATGCTATGTGCGGGCAAGGTTGAGAAACCGAAAGCAACTTCCATGCACTGTGTATTTCATGATGGCTTCCGTGACATATACCCCTATATGCATGCGTTGTCTAAGTTTCAAACGCTAGCTGATGTTGATACCACCCCCTTGTCACTGTGGTTTCTTCTTCTCCCACTCCTCGGGCGTATGGCACTTTGGCGTCCAGGCATGTATCGCCGCGATCTCTTCTTTAAGGGTACTGTTAACTAGGCGGTGGCGTGCCAGCGTTGTCTTTTTGCTGAACTGCGGTGATACAATGATAGCCTCGTACATTTGCCCGCAGCCACCTGTGCCCATATTAGCATGTTCTCGTGGCTCCCAAAAAGCAATTGCCAAAACTCTCCGGACCAAGTTCCAGATCCGGAATGGTGAAATCTTCCAAAATGTTGTCGCAGATAAAAAACTCTCACATACCACTCAAATCCTCAATTTCAACATATGTGGCTCCCAAACCCTCCTCCAACTTCCTCTTCAGTCCTGCTATAGTAACACCGGAGGTAGCCTGCACCCGCTCCGCTTCTTCATCTGTTCTTGCACTCATGGTGGCTGTCGTTTCTGGATCAATGGCAAGTTTGTCGAGAGTCTTGTAGAGTTTGTGTCGTGGATCCATGCGAATGATGTGATAGTGATTTGCGGTTCCTATCTTCGGATCTGATAAGATGCGACTGCCGAATGGAGAAGAGTCGGGAGGGGCAATGACGTTTGTCCGTGCGTTTGACCGTGCGCCTGGCAGGGGATTGGCGGTGCAGGGTTAATGGGCGCGTTTGGGCGATGGCACGACGCGTAAGGGGAAGCTTTGAGGCGCCATTGAGACTTTGAAGCTGCATGTTTGCGCCTACGATTCGACGATTCGCAATGAGTGCGCCAACTACCTCGGCGCCGTTCTCGCAGGCGGTTGTGAGGGCTATGCAGAAGCTGTGAGTTGGCTGCTTCCTCTGCGCTGATCATCCTGTACTTATCAAGAGCCATTCCACGAGTAGTAGCGTGTAGACTTGCGCCTTTCAGGTACTAATTATCGAGAAGATATCCGCGAGAGCTTGCAGACAATTCCTGGGATAACACTGGCTTGCTGCTCGAAGCGCCTTTCGTCCCCTCCCGGCGCCAGTCCAACACCGCCCTCCTCACCATTGACCTCACCAAAGCCGTCGCCGACGAAGCAATCACACTCAAGTCCTCTATCGTTATCGCATACCATCCGATTATATTCAGGGGCTTGAAGACGCTCACACTCGCCAATTCTCAGCAACAATCACTGCTCCGGCTCGCTAGCCATGGCATCAGCGTATACAGTCCACACACCGCTGTGGACGCGGCACCGGGAGGGCTCGGAGACTGGCTCGCCGATATCGTCACAGGTACGAGGACGAGCGACTCGGAATCACATGAGCCCACAAAGGGGGAGAGCAACGAGGACCCCTTCATCGAAAAGAAACGCCCAACGTACACGCTGAACCACCACCCTAGCCAAGCCCTTCTCCATTTCCCCAAGCTACCTACCACTTCCACCACTACCGTCCCGCACCGACGTCAGCCCGTCATACCTCAATCGCCAGAACTAGCGTCGCATCCTGGTGCAGGCATGGGTCGCATCGTACGTTTCAACCAGCCACAGCCGCTTCCCACGCTGCTCGATCGCATAGGCAAAGGGCTTAACAACCCCAAAGGGTTCCCCATCGCCATCCCCCAGGACAAAAACATCTCCGATATAGAGATACGCAGCGTGGGCATATGTGCAGGCTCCGGTGCTTCGTTACTCGCTGGTCTTGACGTCGACCTGCTGTTCACAGGCGAGATGGACCATCATGCGGCGCTCGCAGCCATCGAGAAAGGACAGGTCGTCATTAGTTTGTTCCATAGCAACTCTGAGCGCGGCTTTCTGGCAGAAGTGCTAAGAGGGCAGTTGGAGGAAACAGTACAAGAGGAGTGGGCAAAGGTTCGGGAGGAGGGGAAGGACAATGAAGAGCTGAAGGAAGCATTGGCCGAGGAAGACTTCGAGATTGAGGTTAGCGAAGTCGACAGAGACCCGTATGGCATCGTGGTGCTGAAGAGCGAAGTTGAGAAGGCATAGATCAGCGTTCACGTAGAACGGAAATGAAATCAAGGCTAGTTACGGGCCACGGCAATGACATGGATTTGTTGAACACAAGGGTCGTTAGTGGGGCTCACAAATATTAACCCCACAACGCGACATTTTGGACCACTGTCGAATCTCCACCACATCGCTCGCATTTTTTTTATTCAATAAGATTTTTACAATTCATGCCTTTTCCATCACAACTCAAAACCGTGGCGTTCCAGCGCCTTCGGCTTGCAAACATCCTCCGTGGCGCAATTGGCTAGCGCGTCTGACTGTTACAGCAGTGGCTTATCAGGAGGTTGAAAGTTCGAGCCTTTCCGGGGGAGTTATATTTTTTGTCTCTTCGCCGACGCTGAGCATGCACTTACCATTCATTGCGCTGCTTGTGTGGTAACTTCTCTTTTTTGCTGCAAGTACGTATATTTCACTAAATCATCGGTCGCTACGAGTATTTTACTCCAAGCTCCTGACCTATCTAAACGATGCTTTTCCTAAAGCTGTTCTGTCGAAATTACGCCAATATCTTTCTAAAAACTAGTGACTCATATGAAGTGTCTACCTAGGAATTCATTATCAACAGAGGCTTACAAAATTAACACCGCGCGTCGACCCGAATAATGACACACTGCTTCGACATGGTATCATACAAGCCAAACTCGGTCACCGTCCTCAGACAGAGCTCTTCCAACCTTGCTTTCACTACGACCAGTCTCGTATTATCAAGCGGCTTCACCCCAACCTCCGGGTTGCCACCAGGTGAGGGCTGCTCAGGACCCATGGACGGCATCACCCTACTCAAAAGCGTCCGTCTCGGTTGCCGCTGAGGTGTCCCTGAGCCGGCTCTGCCCCGCCCCGTCGGACTTCTCAGTACAGCGCTCGCATTCAAGTCCTCGCTCAAAACTCTCTCCAGTTCCTCAATCACAGCCTGTGGTCTCCAGAACTCTGTACGATTCATATGGCCCTCCAACCGCACTACTTTCGGTTCATCTTCCGACGAAAAGCCGATGACTTCTACAGGCTTTGCGTCGTCGGTGGCGAAACTGAACTCGGATTTCTCTTCCACGGGCGGTAAAGGGATGTCAGAGGGTAGCATCGCGATAATGGTTTGCGCGATGCCGTACGCGGCTTGTTGCTCTACGAGCGGGATGATGTGCGTTTCGATTACGGAGCGGATGTGGCGAGTACGTGTGGTGTTTAATTGATCGAGAATGGTTTGGCCGCGCGAAGAGGACAACGGTGTGCTTGGTCCATTAGGCGGTCGAGATCCATACTCCGTGTATGGCGGCGGGAACTGATCCCTCTCGTTTGGAGACATGGTTCTAAGTGTAGGTGTGGAAAAGAGTCGAAAAGACGACGATGGGTATTTTACAAAATTGTTCAAGTATTTTTGAAGACTGGACAAAAACCAGGGATTAACTCTGTGAGCAAATTTGCGACATCTTGGCTGCGGACGAATCTGTGTTTTGCGGTTGACTACCCGTTCACGTGCCGTTCTGTACCAGGTCTGCGCCTCCTTTGTCCAGTGGCGAGATGCGACAAAAGTCATCCACTTTCCGCGAAGGATCACGGCAGAGCTGATACGTGGGGGAGGACAGTTGTGAGTGTCTGCCTATCTCAACCTTGTGTCATGGAGCTCCCAACAGTGCGCATCGACAGTCTCGTACATAATGGTCTGAGCCTTGCGCGTTAAGGATGTTGATTATCGCCTGAGGAGGGTCGGCCAATGATGGCGATGCAGAGGTATGTGTCAGGTGTGTTTGGTAGCAGGTGTTGCTTGGCTGCGCATACCCGCATAGACTGGCAAGTAAGGACCGTACATGGGTGGTCTATGCGGTAGCATACGGAGTACGATGTTTGCAGATACGCAGATACTTCAAGCGGAACATGCGGGTTGGCTTATAAAATGGGTGAAAGGCTGAGTGTGTCGGGTTTGATGGCCTGCGCTAGGTAGCACTGTTTCTCGATAAGTGTCTCTGTCTTTCTCCTCCTCAGGCATACCTAGGTAACTATGGAATAGCAAGCTGCGCAGCTCGACCATGGACAAAATGGCTCACCGAACCCTCACGGCCTAGACTTCTTGGAGACAAAGGCCTCAACTCCGGTCCAAGGCGGCTAGCATCACATGCAGGTGGCTGTGGTGGCGCAAGGCTGATTTCCATGTTTGAACTTCTAGTACTAGTACCTACCTTAGCTTAGCGGGTGGTCTGTGCCTTCACTCGCACCACCAAAAGCTGCCGGATTACTATGTCGTTCACCGGTGGTGCGCCGAGCTTCACGAGCATGCATGGAACATAAGACATCTGCGCAGTTAGCTGCGCGGTGTATAAAGAATCAAAATGGCCCGCGCTAGATAGGTACTTCTCTTGCTAGAGTGCCCGCTTTCTCACGACTGTGATAGTTTCAGTCACCATCCCCCCCTCCTTCCCCACCAGATTATCGCTCCTCCACCATCTCGCAACTATACAATCACCGCCATGATGTGGTACCATGTCGCAGAACCAAATTCCTACCTCGTCGTTACGGGTGTAGGAATTGAGAAAGTCACCATCAAGAAAAAGGCCCTTGTGTTTCCATTCCAAAAGGTGTCCAAGATTTCAATTACGCCCTTCGATTTCTCCATGTCCCTCCAGGCAATGACCATCGAAAAATTGAAATTCTCTCTACCTGCTGTCTTCACAATCGGCCCTGCGGATAACCTTGAGGCTCTCGAGAAGTATGCTGTCCTGCTCACCGGAGAGTCTGATGGCAGACCCACGCAGACAGCAGCAAAGGGTGTGGTGACGGTAGCAGAAGGACGTAGTCACGTGCAAGAGATTGTCAAGGGTATCATTGAAGGCGAGACGCGAAGCATTGTCTCCACAATGACCATGGAAGAACTATTCCGTGAGCGTAAGATCTTCAAGGATAAGGTCATTCAGCAAGTGCAGTCTGAGCTCGACCAGTTCGGTCTTTGCATCTACAACGCCAACGTCAAGGAATTGCAGGACACTCCAGGCTCCGAGTACTTCGCTTTCCTCTCGCGAAAGGCGCACGAAGGCGCTCTCAACCAAGCCAAGGTCGATGTAGCCCATGCGCGCATGCAGGGCGAGGTCGGAGAAGCCGAGAAACAGGGCAAAACCAAGCAAGAAGTCGCCAAGATTCACGCCCAAACCGCCGTTCTCGAAACCGAACGCAAGGCCGAGAAAGCTACCGCAGACGCCAAATTTACCGACAAGGAGATTGAAATTAGTCGCGACCTCAACGTAGCTAGGATCAATGCGAAGCGGGAGGCTGAACGTCGTGATGCAGAACTTCAGATGGAAGTTGAAAAGAAGCGCGCACTGATGGAGCTTGAGCGTCTTCGAGCCACCAAGGTTGTGCAAGCAAAGATTGAGAAGGAGTCGTCGCAACAGAAGGCTGATGCCGAGCTCTACGCTCAAGAGAAGGCAGCCGAGGGCCACAAGTACAGCGAGCAAGCCGAAGCTGAAGCCGCCGCGTTCCGTCGTCTCCGGGATGCCGACGCAAACTACCAGGCACAGGAGAGAGAGGCCGAAGCCAACTTTATCGTTTCTAAGCGTCGAGCCGAAGCTGAGTACTTTGCCAAAGAGCGCGCAGCTCAAGCCCAGCTCATCACACAACAGCGTGAAGCCGAAGGTCTCTCTGCCATGGCCAAGGCGTACGGCGACATGGCCAACGTCCTCGGTGGCCCTCAAGGTCTCATGCAATATCTCATGCTCACCAATGGCACCTATGAGAAGCTCGCCAACGCAAATGGCAACGCCATCAAAGGTTTGCAGCCCAAGATCAACGTCTGGAACACTGGCAGCCAGGGTGGAGACGGCATGGCGGATCCTACAGCGCCTATCCGCAACCTGTTCCAGAGTCTGCCTCCTCTGCTCAGCACCATTCATGATCAGACTGGTATGGCGCCGCCCAGCTGGCTGGCACAGATGCCGCAACAGAATGGAGATCTGAGCAAGATGCCGTTGAGGAACGGCAAGTAAGTTATCTGCGTGAGAGGCGACGGCATAGCATTTGTCAAAGTCTCTGATACTGGGTGGAGCAGAAGGATGGAATTTCTGGTAATTTGTTTTCTTGTTTGTCGTTATGTGGATGCTTAAAGGATACCCCGGATTTGATTGTACGGTTGGGCGTTGGGGGATGTACTATCCTGTTGCATAATAATTTTCTTTTGTACGCATGCGTTTTCTTGCTATCATTATATATAAACTACCACAAAAAAATACAACCTCCTCCACTTCAGTATACTGAGGGGTGGTCAACGAAAAAGAAACACCAAGACATGTGCAATGGTTCAGAGAAGAGTCTTCACTCACAGTTTATGGTCCCGTGTTTCTCAGGATGGCACTCGCTCCTTGAAATTGACTTTTGCACTACTCATTTAACTCGTTGATGTATACTTCCCATCTCCTAGGTAGAAGATATTTGGATATCGAGACTATGTATACGTACTAGTGTCGAGAGATTCCAAATCCGACGAACAGACTTGGTTGTGTTAGCAAACCCCTTGAGATGTCATGGCAGACCTTGTAAATAGGTAACTACGCCGCTAGGTATGCTTAGCTCCATGAAGTGAAACCTTTCACAAAAGTGGGAGTTCCGAAGACCATGAAGCATACATTCATGCTGTGGAAGAAATTGGACGTAAGGTTAATTCGCGGGACAGCCGCAGCGGATTGTTGAGCTCTTGTCGGGAAGTTTGTGTACAGCTGCGGAGCTAGGTAGGTAGGTAACGGCGGTCTTGTATCCTGCCCTCTCTGCAACGCGAGAGAGGCTGAAGGCGCGATTGATCCGCTATAAGATAAGTGAATGTCTCGGCCTACCTACTTACAGTACGTCTTACGAACACGAGAAACGCGTTCCCCGCATCGAGGTCCAAATCTGGGCTTTCGATAGCTGCAGTCACTTGCGCGTTAAGACTGATCGTGCAGTGTTAAGTCGTCAATTAGCTTTCTGCTGCTCCGCGAGACCCGCGGCCCCAACATCGTAGCTTCGATTCTCCACCTTTTAGGCGTGCGCAAGTTGCCTGCGCTGATGTTAAATAATGACGATCACATTTCAGCCCAACATGGCTCCAACCTTGCCCCAGCCGTCGGGACGGTATGACTCCAACCCCGCCGAGCGCGCTCCATGCTGAAACCTTGGGCACCAGCAAAGTCTCAAAACGCGTGTCGTCAGTATCGCGAGGAGCTGATGAGCGCGTTGGAGGTGAATCCAGCCGCAGAAGCAAAGACGCGCGGGATGCTTCGTTGTCGGGTGCTGTATGGCCCCGCTCGTGGCAGCAGTGCAGGTAAATAGTGAGCCTCAGTCAGCAAAGCGGGACTTC